ATAACCATTTCTTTTTTCATATCAGAATTCAAATAGTATACAAAATCCTCCTCAGGACTGTATTCTTCATCATTTAAGGCTCTAATTTTCTTATTTCTACACATCCTAGCCAAATGACCTATCTTCTTACAGTTCAAACATCTGACAGTCTTTGCACCACAAGAATCTGCAAAATGATCAATACATGATTTCTTGTCCAATTTCTTTTCTGTGTCTGCTTTACTTTTCCTGCCTTTTGATTGATGTATATTTTGGTTAAATATACTATTCTTTCTTTCTTTCTTTGGAGTCTTCCATAATATATTTGTTTCTTTTCTTGAGTTTTGGCTCTTTCTAATGTTCTAGCTATAGACAAAGTTTTCATTAGAGTTAACTTCTCTTGCTGTAGTAGTTTTTCTCTAAGGGTATTAGAATGATAATTTCAACTATCTGATCTCTAATCATTTCTTCTTCTAAAGGACCAAATTCACATGTCTTTACCAATTCTCTAAGATCTATCAGGTATTCATCAATAGTTTCATGTGGTTGTTAAACTCTTTTGCGAAAATTGTATCTTTCTGCTACAGCATTTCGACCAGGTTGGACCAGTCAATGTTGAAAAAATTATCTAGCAAGGTTGTCCTAGACTATGAAGTAATGCAGCTCTTCTGACTGCATCATCCTTTTTATTCAAACCACTGGCTATTTGAAAATATTCAAATGATTCCATCCATATTGTGAATTCTTGGTAAAGATCTGTAGAATTAACATTAAATTCTTTAGGTGATCTTATATGAATAGAATGTCTTTCATCAGAAGAATCACTTTCAATATCGTTTTCTTCTGTTGTGTTGTCACGTGGCATTTTCAATATTTGATTTTCTCTTCTTCTAAATTCCACTGAATAATACCATATTCTTTCTTTGTGTTCCCAGACATCCTCGTCGCCATTTGTTGTGTTGTGGGTTTTCAGGGTTTAACATCAAAGTTAGAAGTGACTACTGTTTATTATTTGAAATATACTAGACATCCTATCAATCGTGCAGTCATACATACTTGACCTTTCTTACCATTTCTGACCTCTTTATTGAAGAGTTCCTTATATAGAGTTATGTCCCTTGGACCACCTAGATCAATATTCTACAGCCACAATTCTTGCTAGATTTTGAAGAAACTTGGTGAAGTTGTGTATTATCACCCAAGGATAAACCCTATTGAAAATTAAAAAGATAAAAAAATATTTAATATGAGTTATTTCCCTTGTTCTTCAAAACACGTTCAATTTTTATCTTGTAAACACCCTAAATGCAACAATTCTTGCTGGATTTTGATGAAACTTAGTGAAGATGTTTATTATCACCCCAGGATAAACCCTATTGAAAATAAAAAAAATCGAAAAATATTTAATATGAGTTATTACCCTTGTTCTTCAAAACACGTTCAATTTTTATCTTGTAAACACCCTACATGCCTCAATTCTTGCTGGATTTTTATGAAACTTTGTGAAGTTGTTTATTATCACCCAAGGATGAACCCAATTGAAAATAAAAAAAATCGAAAAATATCTAATATGTGTTATTGCCCTTGTTCTTCAAAACGCGTTCAATTTGTTAACACTCTGCAGGGCACAATTCTTGATGGATTTTGATAAAACTTTGTGAAATTGTGTATTATCAACCAAGGATGAACCCTATTGAAAATCAAAAATATCAAAAATTATTTGATATGAGTTATTGCCCTTGTTCTTCAATGTTCATATTCAAACAAAGCTGCCAGTGGGTGTATTTTACCTTGCCTGGCAAGCTATCTTGTAAGTAACTCTACAACAAAAGGTACCCGATCCAGCAACATCTAACATGTGAACATTCAAATGTAATATATTTAATTTCATGCAAGAAATGCCCCAAACAATAATAGAGTATATAGATAGGGGGCACTTTGGTATAATTTATATAGTGCCCCCTATCTATATGAGTTTAATTTTAAAACACGAACAACACAAATTCGAACGAGACGGATTCTTCTCAGCTCTATCATCTCTCATCCCAAAAGTGGCCAACTTTGTCTCAAACAACAAATCCCTCAAGCTCTTGGATCTGTTGCAAAAGCAGGAGTAAATATAAGCGAAACAGTGAAAAGATCTAACGAGTTGAAAGAATTACAACATATTAAGAGCAATGCGAAATAAAAGATTAGAAAACAAAAAAGGAAATGGTTTTAAAATTATTGGATAAAAATGTCAATGATAATTGCTCAAACTCCTAAAACTTATTTCGGTTCTGGTATTCAAAAATCATTAGGTTCTCTTCCTAGACTTCCATGTGCAAAATACCCCGGAGAAAATCATCTTCCGGGTCAAACAGGTCCAGGTATACGATATACTATACAGAAATAAAGACATAACATCCAGACACGCAGCAGACAAACAAATGATAATCGAACTTGAAAATATTCCAAATCCAACTTTTAAAGAGAGAATTCAAAGAGCATTAATCATTAAACTCTTGAAAGCAAAGATGAAAATGGGTATGGGAATAGCAGATGAAATACATAAAGAATTTAGAAAAACTAAAAGTGTTTGATCAAGAGATCAGCAGATTTAATTGATATGCCAGTCGAAAGAGGATATAAATATTGTTTAACCGTTATAGATTTGTACACAAGATATACTTGGGTTATTCCTCTCAAAAACAAAACAGGTTTATCAGTCAAACACGCATTTGAAACAATAATGAAACAGTCCAACAGTTATGGGTAGATAAAGGAAGTGAATTTTATAATAAAAATATGAAATCACTTGGGTTTGAAATTTACAGTACTCATGACAAAGGTAAAGCTGTAGTAATAGAAAGATTTAACAAAATAAATTATTCAAAAAGTTCACGGAATTGAAATCCCAAAAATGGCTTAAAATATTACCAGAGGTTGTAGATGAATACAATAACAAAATTCATTCATCTATAGTTGTCACACCAACACAAGCCACAAATAATCCAAATATTATAAAGTCAATTAATGCACAACATAACTACGAAAATGAAATGAATAATTTAAATATCAAACCCAAAGTTGGAGATCGCGTTCGTATTTTCAAATATAAAAGCAAATTCGAAAAAGGCTACGTTGGATTTTGGACCAACAAAATATTCATCGTACAACACCTCCAACATGAATTAATCGATCAAGACAAAGAACAAATCATAGGTAGGTTTTATCAAAACAGACTTCAAAAAACTGACTTTTAAAAATGAATATCTTTCTTGGTAAATACGGAACCGATACAACTACAAACTTTCAACTTATGAAATGGGCAAATGAGTTAAATATATCACCGTTTTATTATTGTATGAGAGATGAAATAAATGATCCCAAATATAAGAAAGGTAAATTTTATGCTATAACAAATATACATACTTCCGATCAAAAAGGAGTTAATCATTCTGCTTTGTACAAAAACTCTTCAAGTGACTTATATTTTTTTGATTCTTTTGGATTAGAACCCACTGAAGAGATAGTGAAATTAACTAATAAACCAATCAAATCTTCAACATTTCAATTTCAATTACTGGGACAAAAGTTTTGTGGACAGCTTTCACTTTGGGTTTTATATCAGTTGAGTTTAGGAAAACAATTTGAAGAAATTATAATGAATTTAACTTAATAAAAATGGCGAATAAATTTGGATTAGGTTCTTTACCTTAGATACTAAAAACCTAACACAACAGCATGGATAAAAAAAGCAAAACCTTATTTTGTGGATCAAATTGGAGACAAACTTCAAGGTGAGTTAGATATGAATAATTTTACCATAACTAATTTAAAGTTACCAGAAAATGATTATGATGCTTTTCACAAGAAATATTTAATGGATCAATTAAATTTAATTGAAGTAAATAAAGAACATTTAAAAGAAAGAAAAGGCGATGTGAAAAGATACTTCAAACGACGAATAAATAATAAAGATTTTATTGATGATACTAAATTACAACAAGAAGTAACAAGTTTGAAAAGTTTTATTGAAGAACAATTACTTAATGTAGTAGATAAAACTCAATTACAACCTTTAAGTTCATTAATATCTAATTTAGATGATAAGATTACAAAACAAAAAGTAGATCTTAAACAACTAATAGCCAATATTAATCCAGGTATAAGTGAATATAAATTAACAACATTAGAAACTAAACTTATTGATAATAGTGAAATACAAAAACAAATAGTCGCCATTCAACAACAATTACTTTATGTAGTAGATAAAAATCAATTATAAAATTTAAAATCATTAATATCTAAATTAGATGATAAGATAACAAAACAAAAAATAGACCTTAAACAACTAATAGATAATATTAAACCAGGTATAAGTGAAGAAAAATTAACTGATTTAGAAACCAAACTCAATGATAATAGTGAAATGGTCGCTATTCAAAAACAATTACTTAATGTAGTAGATAAAACTCAATTAGAAAATCTAAAATCATTAATATCTAAATTAGATGATAAGATAGCAAAGCAAAAAATAGATCTTAAACAACTAATAGATAATATTATTTCAGGTATAAGTGAAGATGAATTAACCGCATAAGAAACCAAACTCAATGATAATAGTGAAATAGTCGCCATTCAACAACAATTACTCAATCTAGTAGATAAAACTCAATTAGAAAATTTATAATCATTAATATCTAAATTAGATGATAAGATAACAAAACAAAAAATAGAACTTAAACAACTAATAGATAATATTAAACCAGGTATGAATGAAGACAAATGGCAACAGGAATCAACTGCTCTAGAAACTAAATTTAAAACTGAATTACAAAAAGAACTAACAAATATCAAACAATAGATAGAAAATATTGATTATAGTGAGCAGATAACTACTATTAATAATGAAGTTTTAAAACAGGAAAAAAATATATCCACATTAGAAAACAAACTAAAGGAAAATAAAAAATCATATTATTTCAATCTTCCATTTCAAAAAACATTGGTGGAAAACATGTTTCTATTACTAATAATATTGATAAATCAACAGATTATGAATACAAAAAATATGGATTTACAGCAACCGTTAAAGGATATTCTTTTCAGGATTTTATGTTCCTCCAAGGTATCTTTAATGAAGAAAATTTATCATATTTTATTTTCCGAGGAAAACTTCAAATTGAAATTACTTTTCCTTTGCAGGTAAAAGTTAATTCAATATTCTTCATACAAAAATCAGAAACATCTAATCAATTTAACGCTCGTAAAGTTCTTCAGTTTATCAATGTTAGAAAAATGTAAAAACTAAAGAATTTGAAATTAACAATGAAAACACCAAGGTTTTTCCCTACTTATATGAAATTAAAACAAATGGAAAATATATAGATAGGTTTAGAATGTTAATTTCACCAGATAAAGAAGATGAAGTATTTGGATTGGGTAAATTTCATATGATTTTGGAGATGGAAACCCCACCATCAGTAAGTATTATTAGAAATCCCAAACCACAAAATATAGGGGAAACAAGGAGTTATGAGTTTTTACGAATATCAACAGACTTTGAATAGGTAAAACTATATTTTGTTAATACTGATTTATTTACCTCAATTGATATTCATAAAAGTGAAAAAGTTGGTGGTATATATACTTATACATGTATGATAAAAATCAATATCAAAAAACAAAAACTTTCAGTTCATTTGAATAAAATTAATGATTAGAAAAATGAAATATCTATAGTAACTGTAGAAGTTACTATTTTTAAAACTATAGAAATTTATCATGGCTCAGCAGTTGAGATGGATATTTTAAATAACAATTATCCATCAGAAATTCACTTATTTTAATGTCTTAAAAATGGAACTCAAAAGTAGACAATAATATATGATAGACAAACAAAACGAGTTAAAAGTAAAACTAGAACAGTATAATAAATGTAAGAAAAGATGGATTAGAGTTGATTCTGTTTTTAAAACACTGAGTGTACTTCTAACAGTAGGAACAACAGTTGCAACAGCTGTAACTGGTGGATTAATGGTTCCAGTACTTGTCCCAACTGTATTAGCCACAATTACTGCTATTCAAACTTCATCTTGTGGGTTGATTGCTATAGGTTATACATCAAAACAAAAATCTCATTATAAAAAGAAAACAGAAATTTTAAATTCATATTTTAATAAATTATTTATATTTTTTGAAAGATCAAGAGAAGATAAGAACATAACCATTGAAGAATTAGAAGAATTCAATGAAATTCTAGAAAAATTTGAGATGGAAATATCAGCCATAAAAGTAAAAAAAATACTTAAAAATAGATCATTAAAAAGCATATATACAAAATATGAATGAATCAATTGAAATTAATGATGATGAATCATACATAGAAAACGTGTTATTTTCAAATATTATCAAGGCTGTTTCCAATAAATTTTTAACATTTAAAGGACAAATTGAAATAGATGGAGAGATATTTCAAGATGGAAAGCACAAACAATTTATGAACTTCTTGGTTTTAATGCCAAAACTTTTCATATCATCTTTAGAAATATGGAAGAAAAATCTGACCCTTCTGATTGGTACTTTACAGGAAGTATCTTTTTACTTAAAGACAATTTTAAAGAAATTAAAAGATCAAAAGTTGGAAGAGGAACTGAACTACTCAAAAAAATAAATGAATATATACGTGAAAATTGTTACATACCAACAGATGGTAACTGTTTTATCAAATGTGTAAACTAAAGATTTAACAAATGAATTTCAAAATTTCATCAATGGTTTCTCAAAAGCAAATAGAAAAGGAGTGATGACATCTGCTAGAATTAATGAATTCAAAAAGAAATGTGATATTTAATTTCAAATTTATACTCATAATAATAGAAATTTGCACCCCACAATTGTAAAAGAGGAATTAGATTGGGTTTTATATTTACACAACTCACATTTCTGTCTTATAAGAAGAAATAAAAAAAGTTTGGGTATTAAAGAAATAGAAGATAATTATGAACAAGTATGGAAAACGTGTGGAGACAGGTTTCACCTCTGAAACTAAACGTGTTTTCAAGTATAAGTGATGTTGGGTTATTTGCTTGGGATTGTGAAACATATTCAGAAAGTGAAACGCGTAAATTCTTTATGCGTGTGCGTTAAATAATTTAGAAAAACTAAGAAAAATGTTAGACAGAATAAATAATCTCTTTCCAGATTTAAATCCTACAGATAATGTTTCAGAAGAATTTTATGATAAACTAATGAATATAGAAGAAATATTTGTAGGTACAGATTGTACAGATCAAATGTTGAAATATTAAGGTCAATATGATAGAATGAGATTAATATTAATTTCTCATAACGGTAGTAATTTTGATAACTGGATTGTGCTTAAAAATATAAAAAAATCTAACACAATGCCCTTTAAAAACACCCACAGGAATTCTATCTTTACCTTTATCTAATCCATACACAGATGAAGATTTACAGAAAAAATGGAAAAGACAGAAATAAATAACAAGCAATAATAATTATTTACAACATATTAATTTCACATGTTCCTATCAACATGAAACATCTAGTTTAGCGGCATGGGGTAATTCATCTAATCTACCAATGAAATTGAGAAACATCACTGATATCAATGTTACAAAATACACTAAAGATAACTGGGAATCTTTAAGACACGAATGGGAACCATATGCAAAAAGAGATACGTTATATCTTGGAAGTTGTTTGATAAAATATAACGAAGTCACGAAAGAAGTTGTAAACCAAAATATGTCCAATAATCAAACGGCTCCATCTTTATCTTTTAAGGGTTTGTATTATTTGTATCATTACGATTAAGAAATGGTTGAAGAAGAATGGTATGAAACTACTAGAATGGTTCCAAAACATACTGAAAAAGAAAATCTAGAAAAAGTTTATTCGCACACTAATCCTTTTATAAGACATTATATCAGATGATCTATTAAAGGAGGAAGAGTTTCGGCAAATAGAAAAATATTTGAAACGAACAAAATGGATGAAATTTGTAATGTATTAAAGGAATTTATTTCACAAAGTGAAACTGAAAGTATTTCACAAAGTGAAACACGAAGTGATAATTTAAGAAGAGATAACATAATTGATTTATTCAAAGAATACAGCGTGAGCACAAAAGACAAAACAGAAGTTAATTCAAAACTTAAATAAATAAACTGCAGTAAACTAATGGCATTTGATGCTAATGGTTTGTACGCTTCAGCAATGTCGGATTTAGACAGTGAATATCCAAAAGCAGAAAATGCTAGACCGTTTCTACCAGAAGAAGAAAAAAATTTTGTAAAACTCTTCAATGAAAAGAAATTTAGGACAGCTATTTTAACAGTGTGGTTTGACTATCCCAAAAACATGTTCTTCCAACCGATACCAGCTAAAGATAATATTACTTTCACGAATAAAGAAGGAAAAAAGGAAACTGGGAGTAAAATCAGGTTAAGAAATGGTTTCTGTTCAGATGTTTTAACATCGGTCGATATTCAAGAAATAGTTAAAGCCGGTGGGCGAATTATTAGAATATTAGATGGTATAGTATACGAAGAAAATTTTAAAACTCCACCATATAGAGATTTTATTTTAATTTTAAGAGATCTTAGAAATAAATATAAACGAGAAGGTAATACTGTAGGTAGTAATTGCATGAAATTATTAGGCAATTCATTGTATGGTAAATCTATTCAGAAGGATAGAAACACGAGAAATCATTTGTGGAATGAAGTAACTTTTCAGGCTAACTTCGACTCACATGTTAAAAACTATGAAAAAAAGAAAAGAAAACGTTTAAGGGTTATTCTAATAATAAGACAAGTGTAGAAGATTATATTCAGTTGGCTAGTGGACATGATGTGTCGAATGAATTTAATAAAAGATGGGAAAGGAGTTTCACGAATGGAGTAGTTATTCCAAAGGATGAGAAAACCACCAAACAGTGAAGGAATTATGTTCCCTTATAATGAAAAATAATAGTATAGTTTTGAAGAAAACTATGAATTCGATGATTTCGATCACATATATATTCATGAAGAGAATGAAGAGTGATTAATTACTCAATAAATTTAGTTCTTTTGTTTTAAATGAAGTTGAATAACAATTTCTTCGTTACCAAAATCAATAAACCTATTTTTACCATCTTTGATTTCCAGATTTATATTTTTAATCATGAAAGAATTAAGTGGTAAATATGTTGTTTGAAATGGTTTCTCTATAATTCTATATCCAATCGGTACAGTGAATGTTGGAATACTGTAAATAATTTGACGTTTGTGTTTATTGAAAAATCCACCGTTTATTAAATTACAGTGAATATTAAAGTCGTCGATATCATTCTCGATATTAGCTTTATGCGGCGCTAAAGTGGATTGTGTGTATATTTCAATGATTATTTTTATTGGATAATTTTATCAATTACGTTTAAAACCTTTTTTTTTTTTTTATCTATAATACCTTTCTCTAAGAATCTTCTTAATATGCAATTTACTTCATTATATTGTCTGTCTGAACGATGGCCATCTTTCATTGCTGCTAATATTATTTCTAATCTATTAAGTAGTTCCTCGTTGTTGTCGGATAAAAACGTTATACCTTGTCCACTGTTTTCTCTAGCTATCTCCTCTTCCAATTCGTCTATTTGTTGTGTGATTGGATTGTCTTCAGCATATTCATCATCTTGATTAATAGCTTTTATATAATGATCAACTTCTTTTAATCTTCTTGTTTCGGGCCCCGTCTTTCTAATCATATGTAGAAATTCTGAGTATTCTACTAAATCCTTGTAATCGGCAATATCAACATCCCCGCCATTAATTAAATCTATTAATCCTTCTGTTAATGTAAATATAAAGTCTTTTGTATCGATTTTGAATATTGGTGAATTTGCACTAAATCTTATTCTAAATCCATTAAACAATAACCCTTCATTATCAACAATTGGTGTAATGCTCTTTGGCAAATCTGGGTTTGGATTTGAAAAATAAAGTTTTATATCACCTAATGTCCTAATTATAAAACCACCATATTCAATCGGTTTTGGGGGATCTTTATGGGGTTCTATTCGAGGCGCGAGTCTCTTTTTAATATCCTCTTGACTTTTTAATATTGGTTGAAATAGAGTTTGTAGATTTTCTGTTAATCCAAGTTGTTGTAATCTGTTATTTTCAACTTGGATCTTTATTTAATTCTTAGCTTTGATATATTCTCTATTTCTTTTTATAATATTATTCCAATCACCCATTTTTAAAGAAATAAAATTAACATATATCTGTCATAACTCTTTCACCTGCAGGTTTTCTAGTATTAATGAATACATATCCATGATCATCTGGGTTTCTCCATTGTGCTTTAAAATCCTTTTTGAATATATCTCTATCCATTCCGTGATTAATTGACTGAATAATTTGAGATAAATCTTTGTTGTTCAATTCGAATAATAAAAAACAATTTGCATTTATTCAAATGAACATTGCATCCATACCGTAGAAAGATTGGGATTGGTATATGCAGTGACAGTTGTGATGTCTTCCCCTCGTAAAGAATTCTTGTTGAACAGCTTGATTTCTTTGTGCTACACAGTCGTCAAACACTATTAAGTTCTTTCGCTCACTATCAATTTTAGACAAATCTAAATCATTAACATTTTTCGTAAGAAAACTTTTAGATCCATTGGATTGAAAGATGGATTCTTTTCTTTTATATATGGATCTAAGATATCTTTTATTTCTATCTCATCGTTGTCTTCATAATATTTAAATATGTCTTGAACGTCTTTCTTTGGTATATATTCTAAAGCTTTGAGGAATTGATAATATGATTGCTCTGGTGTTGTTGTGTAGATCTATAATGAATCGAAATCTAAAAGTTTTGGTGTTGTCCACATGTTAAAGGTCAAATACGTTTTCCCAGAACCTGAGCTACCGCATATACACATGAGCATTGGGTTACTAAGAAATATTTCTGAATGATTAAATTTCTTTTCCAATTTTATTCTATATTTTTGTTCCAAAAATCACTCCTTCTCCTTTATACTTTGAAAGAAAGATTCCCTCTCCAGACAATTGTTTTTAAAAACTATGGCATTACCCTTATGTTTAACCTTCATTCCTCCGGTGTGGATTTTATCTATTAGATTACTTAATCCCTCTTTAACAGTTTTCTTGGTTTCTTCACTAAATCGATTTCCAAATTCTTTAACTGCCCCTAATATATCTGCTACTCCCGAACCTTGTGCTATCTTTTCCATTTCCATATTATGTCTACGTTTTTCACTTTTTTCAGCATCAGCTGCTTTCTTGGCATTGATGGCTCGTGTTACCCCACCGCCCCACCAGCTGTCGCCCCTGCTGCGGCCAGACCGGCAAATACTACAGGTAGGAAAGGTAAAAATCCACCTTCATTTACACTCTTGTCAATTCTTTCCAAATCTATATCATCACGAACTTTACAATGTTTATATTTATCAAATTTTTTTTTAGATATTTTAATCCTTTTACCATTGTATGTTATTGTAGTTGGTGATTCCGTTTCGATAGATTCTATTATTCTTTTTACTAAAGTTTCTGGTTTCATATTTAAGAGGGTAATTTAAATGATTATTCTATACGAATCATCCGTCTGTCCGATATTTTAATTAAATGTTTTGCTTATTCTAATAATAAACAATAACCTGTTACATTTCCTTGTGTTTTTTTTATATGAATATTTATATTCACCCCTGTTTTGAAAAGATCCTCTTGATGAGCTGATAGATCAAAACAGAAGATTGGGTGATTAATTGCAAAATCTAAATATTCAAACTGAGGTGAATTTCCAAATAATTCACACATAGTTTTATAGTTTCTACACAATTCATTATAATCCTTCGTGGTTGGATTAATTGTTAAAGGTTGGTTAAGATAATTATCGTTGTTTAATCTTACTTGAATTTTATGGATTAAAGGATCTTGAGTTCGGTTCATTGCTACTCTAAAGATATTATTGTTATTCGTTTGAGAATCTGGTAAGTTCTTGAAACCAACCATTAAATATCTTGCTGGTTTAATAGTGTTAGTGATTGGCCATGTGGTGGATTCTCCAGTTAAAGTCATGCTACCTACCGTATTACGACGAAGAAATGCTATTTCAATATCTTTAGTTAATGAGTTGAATATTCTCGTTTTTACTTGAATAGATGGTGTTATTACGGGTATGTAAAGTTGGAGATTCGTTATTTCTAATTTTGCATCTGAAGCATTCTCTCAAAAGAATATCTTATCATCATTGATTTCTCTTTGTAGATGAATTTTATATGGTAACCCTATGGAAACTTTTCTGTGTTCCAACAGACCGAATAATCGACATAATTTCCAATTTACGTAATTACCCCACCTATTATTCTCAACAACATTGTTTTGATTCGTTTTTCGAATCCGTGATTACCTGCTCGTCCTACTCTTACTATTGTGTTTGGAGCAATAGCTCTCATTCTATCTTCATTTGCATCATTTGGAACATTTCTCGTCGGTTCTTTTAAAACTCTTCCATCGCCAACATCGGGTATCCAGTCTGAGACTGAATCGTAGTTTTTGGGATATAGAACTGTTTTCAACATTGTGTATAATTCCCAAGGGCGTTTAATGGTTTCTATGGGATTTAAACCAGCTTCCAAAACCATTTCAGTAAATAAAGATGGAAAGAAATTGTTTTCTAACGTTGTGTTGGTTTGTGGTACACGATTCTCATGGGGAGTTCCGTCTTTGATTTATGAAATCGCATCTGAAATAGGCATCAGACAGAAGCAACCAATTCGATAATGAATTAATCTCGAAAGTGACCCTACCCCCATCATTTAGTTGAGACCTAGAGCCAACGGTTGGTGATATGATAATGTAATCCTCTTTTTTCTTATGAAACGAATAACGAATTGGATCATATAATTGAAAGATCGGATCTAATCTGTAATTTTTTTCTGCCATTTTTAAAGTTTTACCCCCATGGAAATGCACTAAGAATAACAAAAAACCAAAGTAAATACAAGGAAATAAAAAACATAAACAATTACATGTATATTGATATACACTTCTACTAGACTACACTTCAGAGTTATCTCCCCTCTTACACTATTGCCAGCCATAGTTCAAGGGTTAAGGGGTTACGACCGCTCCTGTAGAATTGCTAGATATACTTCAGAGTTATCTCCCCTCTTACACTATTACCAGTCATGGGTCAAGGGTCAAGGGGTTACGACCGCTCCTGTAGAATCGCTAGATATAATTCAGAGTTATTTCCCCTCTTACACTATTGCCAGTCATAGTTCAAGGGTCAAGGGTTACGACCGCTCCTGTAGAATCGCTAGATATACTTCAGAGTTATCTCCCCTCTTACACTATTGTAGTTCAAGGGTCAAGGGTTACGACCACTCCTATAGAATCGCTAGATATACGTCACATATTTTATCCTTTTCCAAAACGCTTGTTCTTCAGCACTTGTTCTTTTTTGAACCTCGGATATTTGTCACAGAGTTTGGTAAAATTCTTGTCCTCTTTATATCCACTGCCTGCGATGGTTTAAATATTCTTCGTGATATGAAATGTTGACATCTATTAAACTTGTGTCTGGAAAAGAAAATTGATATTTTGAAAATAACAAATAATCTTAATTCCACCCTGTCGTCTTATGATTAACAAAGAACATACCTTGATTTTGTATGATTAAATTCCTATTCTTCCAGCGTAACAAAATTGAGACAGTGTTAATAGTTGAGAGTTTAGTCTGTCTATGCCGACAGGCATGGGCGGAATGTTTTATGTTAATATAACCATCTGTTACTTGGTGACTTATATCCAGTCAACAATAGTCTAGACAACTGATTGTTACCGGGCGTTAAAGGTAATTATTAAATCAATAATACTCTAGAAAACTAACCGTGTATAAACAAAAAACAGTGTTACCTCAATTAATCAGTTCAAAAATGTTTTCAAGAGTTTAATGATTAATGCTCTTTGAATTCTCTCTTTAAAAGTTGGATTTGGAATATTTTCAAGTTCGATTATCATTTGTTTGCTGCTTCGTGTCTGGATGTTACGTCATGTTTAAGTGCAGCGGCGTCAACTCTATTGATAGGTTCTTCACCTGGTTTGGGTTTATCGTTTTGGTCTAATCGCAGATCTAACTTTGTACCTAGACCTGGTGTAATTATGACCCCGAAGATCTTTTTCTCCGTGGGTATTTTGCCCATGGAAATCTAGGAAGAGAACCTAATGATTTTTGAATGTCGGAACCGAAGTAAGTTTTAGGAGTTTGAGCAATTATCATCGACATTTTTATCCAATAATTTTAAAACCATTTCCTTTTTTGATTTCTAATCTTTTATTTCGCATTTCTCTTATATGTTGTAATTCTTTCAACTCGTTAGATCTTTTCACTGTTTCGCTTATATTTACTCCTGCTTTTGCTACAGATCCAATTCTGTTTTTAAATGAGTTAAGTTGAAGATATTATTGGCAAGGGGCGCTTGGGGGTTGGTAAACGGGTACCCCTATAGGCTCCGGATTTATTAACCGCGTGCCTGGTGGGGTTGTTTGTTTGGTGGGCTTGCAGGCGCCGCAGGCAAAAGAGTAGTATAAGAATGTATAGATAGGGGCAGTTTTTATAATCTATAAAAAGAAAATATAGAATTAAGCATAAGCTATTTATTTTTCTCATTTTGCAAATAAATCAGGCATGTTTTAGATCTAGCCTATTCAAATTAGCCTATTACAACGGTATGCTATTTGTCTTCTTAGGTAGGCCTACCTATTTAGAGTGTCGGTTATGGACCTCCACACATTCCTTTTGGCTTCCATCGTAGCCGAAGAAGAAAATTTGCCCTCGATTTGTTTTGATTCCCATTCACCAGCTCCATCAACATCATACTTTCTTCCTCTGTCCAATTTCTTTCCTTCGTTGCTGAATCCATTTCTAACCTAGTACTTAAGCAGATGAACATTTTACGCCGGGAAAGGGTCACGTGATAAAACATTACAGTACGGAATGTGGTTTCTTTCGTAAAAGAGCAGCGTTAGTCTAGATTAACTGGTCTTTTATACCGAAGCAAGCTTAGTGAAGTCGTTTTTCGTAAGCAAATTATAAAATCAATGCTAGGAACGATGTTTTCCAAGTCGTCCTTAGTAAGACAAGCTTAAGTCGAATATGGGACTTCGGCTTAGCTCAATGATAGGAACCGGGCCCAGGATTTGCCAAAAAAATATAAACAGGAAGGGAAAAAAAAGGGGTGGGTGGGGGGGGGGGAGGATACACTAATATTAAGCAATTTTGAAACCTCCTGGGACATTACATATGCCAATATCTATATGACCTATTGGATGAATAAATTCATCTGAATTCTTTATCTGAAAAATCAGACATATCCTGCAGATTTATTGATGACATTTGGGCTCAGATTGAATAATCTTCACCCCAAAATTAAATTTACAATGGATATTGACAAAGATAAAGTGAATTTTTTAGATTTTAGATGTAAAAGTAATAAGGGGGGTAACAGATTAGAAACTGATCTATTCTGTAAAGAAACAGCTAGCCACCACTATCTACCACCTAGCAGCTGCCATCCTAGACATACTTTTAAATCAATACCTTTCAGTGGTGCACTCAGAATACGAAGAATTTGTAGTAAGAAAGAATGGGAAAACAATAGATTATTTCAATTTGCTAAACATCTGAAGAATTCTGGATATAAAGATCACATTGTAAAAACTGCCTTTAGCAAAGCAAGGGAAAGATCACGCCTTGAACTGCTATTTCCACAACACCAAGCAAAAGAAGATGAAAAGAAAATGAAGATTATTCCATGGACTAACACCTATGACCCACGACAACCAAAACTACACAAAATGGCCCAAGACACAGACATTTTAAGGACAAGCTATAGAATGACCGACATATTAAAAACAAGGAAAATCATTGTGGCAGGATGCAGGAATAGGACCTTCGGAAATTTATTAAGGGAAAACAAATTAAAACAGTGTGTAGAAAATGTGAATATTTCTAAAAGTGTGGGATGTGTACCTTGTAATAAGCCAAAGTGCAAAACTTGTGAAAAGATGAACACAACTAACACAATCACCAATAGACATTTAATATCATTTTAATATCAAAGACTTTAAATTGTCAGAGTAATTTTGTTATATTATTATATTGTCTTACTTGTGAATTATGTAAATTTCAGTATGTTGGCCAGACAATAACCCCCTTCAATATTAGACATATCAAACATAGGAGCAACATTAAATTGAAAAAGGTTCATAAAGCTCTTCATATTGCCCCCCATTTTAACCAACCTGGTCATGACACACTTCTTGAGAAAATTCCAAATGAAAGCAAAAGCAAAAGCAAATTAGTCTGTGGATTCATAGACTTGACTCAGTATGGCCGTGTAGAATGAATGAACTCAACCCAGGAGGTTTCAAAATTGCTAAATATTAGTGTATCCCCCCCCTTTTTTTTCCCCTTCCTGTTTAGATTTTTTGGCAAATCCTGAAGTCATCATTACATACTAGTTATGTTGTATCTAAGATTTTGATGTCATAAATCTTCTGAGGTCATCTTATCAAGAATCAAATTGCCTCCCACCATTTTGTGATTTAACCCTTCTCTTGTTATGTGGTTTCTAAGATTGTGATGTCATAAACCTTACGAGGTAATTTTAATCTTAATTGCCTTCCACCATTTGTAGTTTGTTTCTTCCCCTGATGAAGTCAAAACTATTTTGACGAAACGTTGGTTATTAAAGGATGGTATTTGAGGTTAAGTTTTATTATTTATTACACCAAGTTCAGTATACATCAAATGAATCACCGTACTAGTGGTATTGGTGATCCCATCAAAAAGTCTTCTGTGATTGGTTATTGCTGCCTGTTTTTTTCTTTTTGGAATCACCACATGAAATGTGGAGCGTATATTGCCGTCACCCATGTCCGTCGGTCGGTCGGTCCGTCCGTCCACAATTGCTCATAAACACTCTACATGGCACAATTCTTGACTGATTTCACGAAACTTGGTATGGTTGTTTGTAATCACCCAAGGATGAACTCTATTTCGTGAATGTGTGAATGTTTGAAATGACCCAAGGATAAACCCTATCGAAAATCAGAAAAATTGAAAAATATTAAGTATTAGTTATTGCCCTTGTTCTTGAAAACGCGTTCAATTTTTAGTTCGTAAACACTCTAGAAGGCACAATTCTGGACGGATTTTGATGAAACGTGTCATGAGTGTTGGTTATCACCCATGGATAAACCGTATTGAAAAACAGAAAAATTGAAAAATATTTAGTATGAGTTATTGCCCTTGATCTTGAAAACTCGTTCAATTTGTAGCTCATAAAAACTATAGAAGTCATGATTCGTGACGAATTTTGACAAAACTTGGTTTTATTATTCATTACCGTGCTGAAGATAACGAACACTCACACCAAGTTTCGTCAAAATCCGTCATGAATTGCACCTTCTAGAGTGTTTACGAGCGTTTCAAGAACAAGGGCAATAACTCAAAGTAAATATTTTTCGATTTGTCTGATTTTCAATAGGGTTCATCCTTGGGTGATTACAAACAACCATACCAAGTTTCGTCGAAATCAGTCAAGAATTCTGCCTTCTAGAGTGTTTACGAGCAATT